ACCTAACCAAACCATACCATACCAAACCTTACCATACCTAACCAAACCTTACCATACCAAACCTTACCATACCTAACCAAACCTTACCATACCAAATCTTACCATACCTTACCATACCAAACCAAACCTTACCATACCTAACCAAAGCTTACCATACCTAACCAAACCATACCATACCTAACCAAACCTTACCATACCTAACCAAACCATACCATACCTAACCAAACCTTACCATACCTAACCAAACCAAACCTTACCATACCAAACCTTACCATACCTAACCAAACCATACCATACCAAACCTTACCATACCAAACCTTACCATACCTAACCAAACCTTACCATACCTAACCAAACCTTACCATACCAAACCTTACCATACCTAACCAAACCTTACCATACCTAACCAAACCTTACCATACCTAACCAAACCTTACCATACCAAACCTTACCATACCAAACCTTACCATACCAAACCTGACCATACCTAACCAAACCTTACCATACCTAACCAAACCATACCTAACCATACCATACCAAACCATACCATACCTAACCACACACCACACCAAACAATACAAATCAAACCATACAATCACTACACCAGACCATAAAATCACCAATTGTCTGTTGTCTCATTTGGTATCGATTTAATGATCTTGTTGTTAATTTAGTTTTTGTGTTAAATGTTTTGTCTAATTGTGCTTTTATTATTGTTGTTGAGGAAAAGTAGATGGTACATCTTAATACAGATTTTCCAACAGTGAATAGTGTGGTAATGTTTGTGTTATGTTGGCCTTAATATAATCTGCATCAAGTCAAACCAGACTACATGCGTGACAAACAACATTACTGCAGGGTGGAGCGGGGGTGCTGGAGAGGTTTTCATAGCACAGAGAGAGCAGAGACGGTCACAACAGCTGGCCCAGACTGTCCTCACAGCCCAGGGCATGCTGGGAGAATGAGTTAAATAGACAGGAGCCATAACAGACCCTCTAGGATTATCTATGGTCACATTGACAGACTCAGGGCAATAAGCTGATTACAGCAAGATTAACCGATAATAACATTATTATTACTATTACTGTTATTATTAGCCTAATACTATTATTTTTGTTTTACGCATTACTATAAGTGTTTTACGCATATCTGGTGCTACGTGTACTTGAGTCGATGTATAGGCTGCCTACTTGAGACTCATTTGTTAGATGCAAGCAGTCTCTATGTATATGTTACGTTGTTTTTCTGTGAGCCATTTAATCTGGCTGAGTACTCAACGTCTACTGCGTTAGCCACAAGCTAGCAGCCACAGATCAGATTGTACTGCACTCTCCAGCTCACTTATACCCTACATAGCACTATTTAGTGGTCACTGCCACCATTCAACATATCCTCATACAACGGCTCGTATTATAGCTTACAAAAAAGTTATGCACAATTGTTCGTGCATAATCCTACGAATGTCCAAGCGATCAGTGCGCCCTGCAGTGCAGAACAAAAAAAATGGCGGACATGGTTTTTATTCTCAGTGGAAAATGCAATTAATATATTTATTTACAGTTAGGGTTAGGGTTATTTGTATGATTATGCAAAAATATTATGAAAAATTGCATAACTTTTTCTAAGATATCATGTGAACGTTTGATAAGACCAGCCTGCACCATTTTGTAGTGTTGTAGTGTCGAAATCTTAGTGTACACATCTGGTTCCCTATATAGTGCACTACTTTATACTGTTAATGCACAGTAAAAGAAGTGTGCAACTGATGTGCACTTACTTCCGCACTATATCCCATGATGCATAGCGGTTTTCTGTGTCATCAGACACATCCATCCTATAGAAATGGTTCTCTAATAAATAATATTTATGCAAATTAACTGTCAGAGGGTGACATCAAACACATGTTGGCTTTTTATGTGATCAATAGCTCTAAATGTCATGCAGAAAGATTTACGATGCATGAAATGAGTGTCTGAATTCTGAATTCCCTGCCTTACATGTTCCCTAATAGTGTTCACTATATAGGGATTAGGGAATGAGGGTACAAGTAAACCCATTCAGCAAGGCGCATGTGTTTTCTCATTGAGTTCCTCTTTCCACTCAGAATGTCTACAGGGGCGTGTCCAGGGGCAGGGGGGGGGGCACTACTAAAGAAATGTGATTGGCGCCCTGAGTGCCAGCCCTACCAAATCTGACAGTTCATATCCACATTCAAAGGACTTTATTAATCCCCGGTGGAAATTGTTTAATCCCCGGGGGAAATTATTCATACGAGGTCTTTATAAACCAGAATGCTTCTGTAGTAATTCAGGAGTTTTTATAATCAGGATCAATGTTGCCAACATTTCTGGTAGAAAGTGGTAAATAGCTGCTATTTCACCACCAGGTGTGATGTTGATTAGCCATTACAAGCCATGTCAAAACCTTTAGTGACATCACAAGTGTCCGCCCAGATGAATGATGGATATCAATTATCAACACACCAGCCTACCCAGTGGACCGTACCTACTGGTAGGCTTATCTATCCATCATACATCTGTTTGTTACTTGTGAAGTCATCTGTCACTTGTGATGTCACTACTGCGTAGATTTTGTGATGGCTTGTAATGGAGAATCAACTGGTGGTAAAATAAGGTCCCTTTAACACAGACATATTTTTGAAAGAAACCTCAAAAAAAGTTGTGATTAATTGGGTGTCGCTTTGGCGCGTGAAACACGAACGCATATCCTGTACCTCAAGAGCAAAATTCATTCATTATTGATGCCACCACTGCCGCCCTCACAAGCGCCGAGAGAGACAGAGAAAGTGATCCCCCCTCTTCCCTCCAAACAACATCATGTGACTCTATTTCAGCCTGTCACTGAAAATACCACGATGACCTTTAGCTCAGAGAGGGACTGTAAAGTAAGCACCCGATCAAACCATGAAGTCCAGAGCCGGTGACATTCTGCCGCTATGCCGACAATGCCCTCCAAAATATCAAAGTCACATCACACAAATCCAAGTCAAACTGTATTATTATCATGTAATGTAACATTGTATCACAGTATACTGTAGCACATACAGTGGATTTATGTTCTGCTGTACCTGTACCTCATTACTGACATGTGTCAAATAAATAAATCAGTGTAAATTGCTGTATAAAAGAGTCTAAATCGCAAAGTGAATATGGAGTAATGGAGCTTGCATTCTGCTGTATACAGTCAAGCTGTGCGCAGACACAGGGGCTGAGTATTATACATCTGAGAATGCATTTTAATAACATATTAATTATTCACTCGCACAATGCGCCAGCTGTTTTGTTCTGATCTATTTATTTATTTTAGCTTTCCAGGCTTTAATTACCTGGAAAGAAGGTACTGAATGTAAAGAGAGTCAGATACAAAAATGTATAAAACAAAATTGCTCTGTTGAATTGTTCAATCTTTGTATCTCTGGGGTGCAACCATAATACACTATATATTTATTGTATACAAACAATGCATAAAAAGACATTAAAGCAAATGTTTGAGCCATGGTGTAAAGTTGAGGACAGTCATGGTTCGGAGGCATCCTGGTCTTACATAAGCGCTGTAAAATCCCTGCTTGAAAGTCGTCTAAAATTACCGAAATAGTGCTTTCTAACAGGAAGTAGAGCAGCGGTGGCTGACCCCCATAGCAAGGGGCCGTCTTGGACACACACGACCCCCCCTCTAGCCCCACTCAGCACCCAGCCAGGTCTCACCGCACTCAAAACTGCACTTAAATCTGCAAGTTTCCCCGCTGGTATTCATCATGTCCAGCTTCATAAATCTGGTCAAGGATCAACATTTCTCTCCATTTCTTTCTCTCTCTCTTTCATTCTCTCTCTCACTCTCCTTCCATCTCTCTCATCCTCCCTCTCCCTCTCTCTCTCCCTCCTGGCCTCCTCTCTCTCTCCCTATTTATCCCTGTCTCTCTTCGCCTCTCCTGCTCTCTTTCTCTCTCACTCTATCCCATCATCCCGGGCCCTTGCTGAGGACCTCATAGCCTCGGGTACCACTTCCATCGCCGTGGAAACACAAGGCCTTAGGTGGGAGTGATGACCTCAGAGTTCATCGTCTCCAACAGGTATATTATCTTCCCTGCTCTGACTCACTGATGAGTAATTGTCCGACCATAAATAATCTACTATAGAGCTAAGGTATTGGCCGCAGGTGGGAAGACAGGTGTAGCTGGTGGGAGGAGCAGACCAGCTGCAGGAGGTGAGTTTGATGAATACAGGTTTGGTCATGTGGTTTCGTGCTCTCACTTGCAGTGAGGCTAGGCCCTGTGCATTAAACTTTACATTTATTATATAATTCTTTTGAAGATTTTAAAGATTTTATTCTTTAATATAAACAAATTGATCCTTTGTTCTCTCCTTTCGCTAATCGTAGCTGTAGTCATCAGCCTTGCTCTAGTTTTATCACGACTGCATCGCTTCATTCCTGGTTCATATGGCCACCTGACTCACCTTGTGGTTGGCAGCAGGGGTGCTGGGGGTCGTTAAAGGAGCTACACCTGTTCTGTTCTGCTGTGTTCAGCTATGTTGTGGTCTGTTGCTCCAGATGAACAGGTCTCAGCAGACCCCCTGCTGCGGAAGACGAGGACACAACAGCTTTGACGTGCTCTGGATTCACTGGCTTCTCCGTCTCTCCCCATCTTTACAGACGAATGCAAATGAACTCGCTGTCTTATGACTTTAAAAAAATATATATGTATAATGAATGCAGTTTCTTCCATTACCTATTTGAATTTATAGTTTTTATTTTTTGCAGAAATGGCTTGTAATGGCTAATCGACATCACACATGGTGGCAAAATAGGCAGGATTCCTCCAAGTACACAAGGAAATCCCAGACACTGAGTCGTGTTAAATATAAGTTGTCATGCTTGACTTAACTAAGTCTCTCTGACTGCACTCTCACTCGTAGTCTCACTCTCACTCTTAGTCTCCCTCTCACTCACTGTAGTCACTATGTCCTGGAGGCCTGGACACTTGTGTGTGTGTAGTGGTTAGGGGTGTTCGACTCCCAGCCGAAAGGCGTTGGTTCGATCCCCAATCTCCACAACCTACCTGTGGGCATCGTTGAGCAAGATGTTTAACCCCTACCTGCTCAAAAAATGTTGAGACAGGGATCAAAATTGAGGAATATTGTCAGATATAAATGTGCAATACCACAGAATGAAATCAATTATAATTTACAAGTGTTCACATCGGTTTATATCACAAATATTCAGATATATCATTCCCAAATGTTGTGATTTATACTGTACCTAATGCAAGTTACTGTAGTGAGACTGCAGGCAGTTTCTCCACAGTGGAAAAACTCCTTTTGTCAAAGACTTGTGTGTCTGAGGTTCTGAGGTTGGGGAGATTATGGCGTGAAAGCCTTTATTGGTACCTACTGTCATTTGAACTGCAGGCGCATCTCCTTTCCATTCCCCTGAATTAATACATGAGCCATGGAAAGTAGGTCAGGATGTATGGATCTATGTCTCTGGGAGTCCATGTCTGTGTGTGTGAGAGAGATAGAGCGAGAACAAGAGAGAGAGGGGGAGAGCGAGAGAGAAAGAGCGAGGGAAAGAGATTAAGAGAGAGAGAGAGAGAGAGAGAGAGCAGGGGTTGAAGAGAAGACAGGAGTTTGCTGATCAAATTGGAGAATTAACTTTGGTGGAAAAAAAACTTTAATCTTTTATTGCAGACACAACAGACAAAGACGGATTAAAAGATTTTATTTCAAATCTGCATCGTCGGGCAGAACATTTCAATCGAAATAAACCGAAAAAACGCATATTTCACTGCTTGGAAATGAAACCGAGCGGTCTCTCTCTCTCTCACACCACCATTAAAGACATACAGAGACATACAGGAACTGCTTTGTTTTTCTATACGCAACGTTAGGATATAAACTGTACAATCTGTTCGACCGATGAGCAAAGAAAGTACTAGGAAGCAGACACAAACGAGAAACCACGACAAGCAAGCATCGCCAATAACAGTTAATGAAATGGTTATTAAAAAATTGCACTGTATGTATATATATGTATATAAAAAAGCACAAAGTATAAAGGATTGGGGGTTCAGAGGGTTGAGGGCAGGATTTAGACGTTTCCGCGTGTTGATGGGGAAGCAACAGAGCATCTGTTGTGAAGTGCCAGGGGTCAGGGGTCAGGGGTCATAGAGCTTGTTGACGCAGAGCTCCCTTATGCCGTGTCAACGCCCTGAGGACGTTTTAATCAAGCCAGATCGGTTTCCGAGGCAACGATCGGCATACCCTCATTAAGTATATCGCGTCGGAGATGACGAGCGAAGCGCAAAGGCACAAAAGTAGCACATCTGGTTTTGCTGTTTTTGTTTCTCTTTCATGTAGTTATTTAGTCGTGTCAAATTGGGAGTTTGTGCAGAATTGGTTGAGCTGGCATTCTGCAATATAGGAGAGGTCACATTCAAGAAAGACGAGCTCCAATCAGATGTTATTACCAGCAGTCTGTGGTAGGTTATTGTCTTCAAATTAACCAATAGGTAGTATTGCCTGGTAGTACATCTCATACAACCCAATATCTAGTGTTATGATTAAATGGGTGATGCTTTCAAATGTATCTTATCAATAACTTTATCCATATCATTTGTGTTCATTTTAATACAAATTGAACACAAATGGATGCTTTCACTCCCTTACTCTGATCTGCGTACTACTTAATACCTAATTGAAGTATTATCACCAGTCTTTCCATTTTGGCGTCTATTTTCTCCCTTTTTTTCCAAGATTGCTGATTATTGCCGGAATGTGAAACTTTCAAACTTTCGACTTGGAGTTATCCACATGTCCAAACAGTGTATGGACTTTAGTACAAATATGCAACACAAAATCATTTAAGATACTCACAAAAGCAGCAATTAAATTGTCACATTATATATATATATAAATGAAACAAAAAAAAGTCTTAAAACTACAGCCACTAGAAAATGATATCCCGGTAAAACTTAAAAGAAACATTTTTTTCATAATTAAACAGTCTTGTTCTTTTCATACAATGTATAATTACAAAATAGGCAATACTTTTTTTTTGCTTTGCATTTGAAAGAATACTTCTCATTTTTAATTGATATTATAATTTAGTTTTAGAAAATTATTGGGTTTTCCTTTACAACTTTATGTAATTGATTTTAACTGATTTATTTTTTTCTTGTTAACTTAATCATAGGAACCTTCTGGATTGTACTGTGAAATTTGAAGTAATACTGCAGTTCAGAATTTAACCCCCGCTGTATATATTTTCATCTCTCCTTATTTCCCATATTAAAAGGAAAGCATCATGATTAAAGAGCCTCTATTTTACCGCCAGGTGTGAATGTGAGCGATTACAAAAGCCATTTAAAAATCTACACATTAGTGACATCACAAATAGGAGTGTCCACCCAGATGTAGGATGGACAGATCAACTTACCAGCCTACCCAGTGGACTGCACCAACTGCTAGGCTGATCTATCCATGGTAGAATAGGAGCCCTTTAATGTCCAGCTACAACACCATATTAGGATCATGTTGTGGGTGAAGTAGGTTTGTTGATCAACATGTATTTAAACAGTCTGGTAATGGTTACTAATACGATGCTGTACTGATAAGTGATTAAAATACATTACAAATACTTATTTACCTTTTTTTATCGTTGAAACTTTGATTTCTATCCGTTAAGTGATAAAATTGTTCCCAGCTGTAAGTGGCTCTATGAGTTAAATCTAAGACTTTAAAATACGTGATAAAATACACTCTGGACTTGCCGGGATTTCTTTATAAAATACTTTTTGGGTTGTTTTCTTACTCTTATTTTTTGAATACTGCAAAGAAATACTTGATGGAGGCATGCAGATCCATGCTGGATGGAGGAGACAGAAGCAGCCTGTGGAAGGTGACGGTTTCTGTGACGAGGTTTGGTAGGCAATTGTTTGAGTTTTTGCAGAGTTTCAGAAGCTCGGATCAAAAGCTTTTCTTTTTCTTTCTATCTTTCTTTCTTTTCTTTTATTATTTTTTTTACAAACGGTGTGGTGTTCATCAGAGAGAGTCCTGTGGGTTGAGTAGATGGTTTCATCTTGACGACCTCCTCCTAGCGCCAACATAACAGAAACACAGGAGTTAGTGAAGAGTTAGTGAACAACTTGGGGCGGATTCACAAAAGTATCTTAAGAACAAACATCTTCGTAACTGCTGTTTTTCTAAAGTTTGGACTTATGAAGAAAGTTAAGAAAAACGTTAAGAATGGAGTGTTTCTTCTTAGATCATTTGGTAACACTCCTTACTTTGAAGGCGGGTGAATAAGACTGTCATGATGCTGTAATAATCATGACATGACACCTGTCATGACACTTTATGAATGCTTATGACAGTCGTCATTAAGTGTCATTCGGTAAATTATGTCACTTTTAATTCCAAGTTGACATTGTTTGAGATGTCTTTGTTATGACAACTTGACATAGACCAAAACAACATAACCTGTCATAAACATGACATAGAAGACCTTATTATCAAACTTTGAAAATCTATTCACCCACACAGAAAGAACCTATATGATGATGATATGCACATATGAAACCTATATGCAGAATATTTGTGCATATATACATCAATATGCGCATATATGATAATATATATGCCGCATATATATAGTATATATGTGTATATATGCCACATATATGCTGCATTTTGGCCGCATATAGGCCACATTCAGGTGCATATACGGCATATAGGTCTCCCATATTGCTTCTTTATATCCACATACAAGCCCTATATGTACATACAAGGTATGTCTCATATATACTGGTAGCTCATATATCTGACTTTTGCAACTGTCATAAATGATGCCTAGCTCATATTTTTATGCTCAAGGTAATAACTGCATATTTGTCCAAAGTCCCTTACAAGGAAAACAATAATATTTTCAATAACTTATTAATCGCATGTGGACCCCTCTATATCAGTTTGTTGTTAAATATGTATTATTTAAAATTGTCGACATACAATAATATAAACACTGAATGACCACTATTCCATTGAAAGTTGTTTCCTTTTTGTTTATTCCTAACATTTTTAGAGGCAACTAGTCAAGCGTCGAATAATTGATGACGTCATCCTCATGCGCAGAACTAGCCGAATCCAGAGCTAAGTAAACATAGCTCTGGCCGAATCTAGCTGGGAGCAGAAAATGGCGCGATCACCCTCGGAGATTAGATATGCCCTGCTGGAATGGACAGAGGACGGGGGTAGAGGGGCACATCGTATTTTGTCTCTCGACTGTGTCCACAATTTTTCAGTGGAAGACTTTTTGGACGGGACTAATGACGGTACCGAGGAGCACTTGGCGGAATGGCGGAAAGGCCGCAAGCCTCGGCCGGTGTACCGCGCGTGTGTTCTTGTTTTACTTGATTGCTTTAATGTGAATAAATTACGTAAAGTTCTACATTTGGGTTTTATTTGTTTGTGTAGGCTATGTAGCTATGGATTTTAATATTTTTAAAATCTTTACTTATTTATATATGAAAACGGCCAATTTCATATGTCGCATATATTCCACACCTATATTAAAACATATATGTTTATATAGGTCATTTCCATGTGGGCAGCTTTACGTCTTAACGTGACATTAAACTGTCATATATTGGTAGCTTTGACATTGTAGTGTGGAATCTTGTCATTTTGTTGGTTCTTTTTACTGCTTTATTTACGTTTTTTACGTATTTTTCTCACATTGTTTTGTGTTCAAATACCGTTACACTAAATTTGAAAGTATCTCTTCTTCAAGAAGTAAAATAATGTCTTGACTTGTCTGTTGCTTTTAAGGCATTTAAATGATTTGACCGTGAAATTACACTTAATGACACCTTAATGAAATGTTCAAAGTAACTTTACTTGAAGTCAAGGAAAACATTCACAACACTGTTATAAACTGACATGACCGTGCAATTACACTTAATGACACCTTAATGTCATATAGCACTGGAAGAACCAACAAAATGACAAGATTCCACACTACAATGTCAACGCTATCAATATATGACAGTTTAATGTCATGT